AGTAAACTTTTTCAATAACAATGTATTTTTTTTTTAGAATGATCACATTAGATGATGATTTATTTATCGACTAAGATAAAATTATTTAGGTTAATGCAAACATCTCTATTTCAAGATAATAATTGAAAATCATTGTAGTAAAACCAGTATTTTCTTATTAACACGGGTACCCGTCTATATTAATATCTATGCAAACGTATCATCTAATTTAAATATCATTAAATCACGTCAAATATTGTTTGTATCAATCATTTGGGTTAGCTTTATTGTAAAATTACCTTCATACACAATTTATAATATTAAATGCATTTTGTTGTAAAACAAAAACCTCACAACAATGTCGACTACTTATAATTTGTTCAACTAAAAAATGAACCAACGCGTGACTCCTGAAAGTATGGAATTGAGTATAGAATAGCCCGATACCAATTTAGTAAAATTAATAAGTCTATATTATACAAGGCCTTTTTTTTCTCTCGGAGAAATCGATTTCCCTTTAAAAATTTAGATTTTTGCAAGTAAACGAATTGGTTTTCACATTTTTCAGTATAAAAACTTTTTTACTTTTAAATAGCAAAAAACGATTGCATCCTTCTTTAAATGATTAAATTCGTAATCAAATTAAAGTTTGTACCTAAAACCCTTTAAGCGGATTGAAATCGGGCAGCTTTTAAGGCGTTTTATGTAGGCAATATTTAATAAAACGTGATTTTAGTAAAAGCCATTTGAGCGATAAAAAAATGTTTTCGCTGTAAAAAAATTGTATGACTTCTTTAAAAGTGAACTTCCTTGGTAACAGAAAACGTACGGGTTTCAAGATAACTGATAAGATCGAGCTAATTGGTAAAGAGAATCCGGAAGAAACAGTTTAGGTTTGTCAAACTCTATCAAACGCTCGGGCTACTTCAAAAAACAAACAGGGACAGTATTTTTAAAAGAGGAAACATTTGCCTCAAATTAAAACACATTGAAACACAACGGTTTCCAAAATAACCTAGTAAAGTAGCCAAAGAACTCGTATATCTTTACATCTTGCGTCAACTTACTAATGACAGAAAACTTATATTTATTTTTGTTGACGATTAAATGTTTCGTGACAACGAAAGTATGAGTTTATTAATTATATTTTTAAGCGATTTCAATATTTTTCCTCGATAATTTACTCGTTCGCCGGTGATTGCCTCAACCGGAAACTATTCGATATTAAAGAAGCAATGATTTAACCAGTCGTCGGGACTTCAGAGTTTTGTCAAACATTTTGTTATCTATACTATTTTCATAAATAAATGTCTTAAGATAAATTATATTTTCTCCACTATAACGCAAAATATTAGATATTTTTGTCTTAGCGAAACCAATGCTGAAGTTTTTTCATTTCTCACTCTTCTTCTCCCTCTCCAATAAGGGTAAATGCGGTTATTCGTATTATTTAAAAATATTAAGTATTTTAAGACAAATAACAGGAACAAGTTCATTATTTGACAACCAATGCCCGTCAAAATACAACATCGAACATTTATTTGCATAATTGAGTCATTGGATGCAACAGTATGAGATCACTTTACACTCAACCAAAAAAAACATACCAAAAAAATATACCAATAATTTATGTTGTAGAGTGTAGACTGTAGAGGCTTGATAAATTGGATCATTGATTTTCTTTTCACTGTGGTTTTTCGTTCAATGCATATTGTGACAAGATAAGATTAATTACATTTTAACGACAACGCCGCATCCTAAGTAATCAAAACTTTGTCAGGTATTTCGGTCTAAAACGTCCAAAACATAGATCACCTTTAATCCCCTTAAAAAAATGTATCTTTTCAATCAGCACGACCGTTCGCTTAGGCATTGATATCGAGTACCTAGATTGCCTAGTTTTACCGCTAATGATATCTTTCAACGCCTTCACGAGTACATAGTATGTGACATAACTGTTTATGTACACAACTCAACGACCTATGGCTAATAATAATATTAGGTCGTTGAATTCTTATAACATTATGTGAGATTTTTAATAACCCGACCACTTATAAGGCTCATAAAACATTATGCGCTGTTCAAAATTATTGCAGTTCTTTTGTTGTAAGAAACAATATAACGATTTACTTAAAACATCTTAAACGCGTAAAACCAATAAACTTGTGTATAGCTATAAACGGGTTTCCAGGCTTTTGGGTACAAGTGGGATTTTGTTTCCGACTAAAGTTTTGAAATTAGCTCAAACCGTCTCTCCTACACGGTTGTCCGACAGTACTTTTCCACCCTTGTAATCCTTTCGTTCAGTCCTTTACTGTGAATCTTTCTGTAAAATCGTATTATTTTATATATAAGCAAACAAATTAAAATTAGATATGTATGTTGTTGTTGTTCTTTGATAATATTTTAACCACGGCCTGATTTCTTTGTGTAGCAAGTTTATAAACCAGAACGTTGAAAAAGTTCACTCTTTCCTCTTTATAGTCGAGAAAAATAACTTAGCTTTTTTATTAAAAAACACGCCACTCAATAATATTCCGACAAAATACTAAAAATAATAAAGGTACAATATAATATAAATAAAATACATACATTTGTCTGTGTTAATCTTTATAAATATAGCCTATTCCCAAAGAACGGGTGAAAGACTTATAGTTATATAGAAAATATACAATTTAACACAAGATCTAAATTATTAAGCTTACTACCAGTATAATATCTGATACAAAACCAAGTATATCCTTATCGAATATTCAATATTAGATTTGCATTTGATTCCTACAAATATTCGACAAAAATAATAATCGTCTTACTTAGATTTATCATTTCAGTAAAAATCTTATGCAAATTCGTATATTTTCCTATTATGGATAAAAAATCGATGTGCAAGCAAGGAGGGGATGCAATGAAAATCTAAAAAGATTACGGAAATATGTTTTCGACATTTGAAGCCGAATGATGGCCATCCAACATTATGTCTCATTTAAAGACTACCTTAATATATATGGATTCAGACAAAAAGTGAAGTTAACCCGGTGACTTGAATATAATTAATATGATGTCACTTTCAGCCGGATTATATTATTACTGAGCGGGCATTTGATTACTGCCTGGCTGTTGTAACGGTTGATGATCCGGGTTCTTAGTAACTTCCAGGCTTCACATTTTTTTCTATCCGCCAATAAGTAACACACCAAGTATACAAACTTGGCCAGCAATGCATCACTAACAAAAATTATTTCGTACATAATATCTTCATTACTTATTGTTTTTACATATCTTTACAATTTTGTATTTGTGTTTATGTATAATAATATTATAAATATTTTTATAAATAAATTATATTTTATGTAATTTAAATAACATTAAGTTTATCTTGACAATTTTTGTGTCTTATTTTTTACATTTATAATTTTTCTTTGATGTTATCCTATCAAAATGCTTGTAAAGAACTGATGTTATACAAATAAAAAAAAAAAATGTCCTCTCCTTTGAGTACAGACAATTGCGTGAATACTACGTTCACCTTTTATCTTTTTTTTTTTTTTAAAGAAATTTTTAGATGAATTCTTTTTTTTAGGTCGCCTAACGAAATCACTGCCTTTGAACCTTGTTGGGCTAGAGCGTTTTTGTGGTGGCCGTATTATAACCGATCGGTAGAGCGCAAAAACCTCTTTGGTGTTCAATTTGTGTTTACTTAGAGCTACGCGTCGATAAAAGCACACAAAGTCGACGAGATAAACGTTATAAATTGCCATGCCGAGGGAAAACACCAAAACGAACAGCAGACTGGATTTAAAAGGTGAATGCCTTGCACATACTCGATTTACACGGTTAGCGTCAAACCGTGGCGTTATGGACTGTTCAAAAGAAAAGTATCCGACCGAACAAATAGTGGTATTTATTACAGAACAAATGGAACTCGATAGTAGCGTTACAGTTATGCCGGTATAATCGAGACGCACATTTCCAAAACGACATCATCAGCTCCACTGACAAAACCAATCCGACAGTTACGCTTTATTACTGAAACGCAAACAAGTATAAAAATAAAATGGAATCACGTACGTTCTACTGAAAAAAAAAGTATAAAACATGTTCATCTCATAACAATATTATGGTTGTTTACTTAAAAAAAAAAAACCCGTTCATATTGTATGTAAAGAAACTACTTACAGACTAGAAATTTAAATTACATTGTACCCAATATTACAATTAAAATTGTAAAGTTTAAACATAAAGCAATGAAAATCTGTCCTTTGGAAGTATTTATATTTAATGTAAATAAATATAAACAATCGTAAATGGTTTGGTTTTATTACTCCAACATTTTCATTTACCAAAATAAAAAAACGAATTGGATAATTCAGCTTCTACTGCTAAAAAACTAATCGAGTATCGAATGTATTATATTTTATGATGTAGAAATTCAAAATTGACTTCTCTTAATATTTATGATATTTGTTAGGGTTATCTTTATGCAGATTACACAAACTTTCAAGCAGAGTTGAACACATTTTTATTTAATAGATTATTATTTAAATGGCAGTTGATTTCATGGTAAAATGATTAGGATGATTTTTAAACAAAAATAAATCGATTAATAAATTATTCAAATATATTTCAGACATAATTACATATTTTTCAATAAACAAATAATATTTTAATGATTCGAAAGAATTCACTGAGTATAACTTTTATTTTCTAATAAAATTGTAATAAAAAAAAAACATATTTTTGATATCAAATGAGGTTCAATATTGTTTCGATGTCATGGATTGAGGTCTTATAGATTTTCATTAACACAGCATATACTGCTGTACTGCTATACGCATGGAATATAATTAAACTGCCGTAGGGAAAACAAATTTGTAACTCAATTTCCTGGATTAAACATTGGCCTCATGTCACAGACAACTGAGATACCACATATTATATTGTCCCTATAATATTCTTTGTTTGTTCCTCTATAATCGTAACTTTACTGTAGTCATTTAATATTTTTTTTTTCTTTTTTACAGTGTTCCGGTTCCAGATGCCGCCGAACGGCGACCAGTGGCAAAAAGACAAAGGTATGTACCTAGGACGCGTATAACATAAATTATAATACTTTACTTTTGAATAAATTTATTTTAGGCGTTAAATACCAATATATATATATATATATAATTTGCCTTGGTTGCGGTACTCGATTGAATCGAGATCGAGTTGAACGGGACTTTTATTGGGTTTAACTCGGTTGATCTCCTGTACGGTAAAGAGAAGTTTTCGTTTGGTATGTGGTTTTGGTAACTTTAACACAATTATTTATCGGTGGGCTTTTAATTGCCTTTCAAACTTGCCCATGACAAACTTCAAAAGACGTCAAATAATATAGTATAATATGTTAATAACCCGTTTTGTGGCGATAACTAGATTATAATTTAAACAACGTTCAGGTAATTCAATTTCGTCGACAAAATGAAACACAGGAGTGACTAATTACCGCATAATATATTATTTTTGAGACATCGGCATTTAAGAGAAGAACTCTAATTAATGAGTACAAACGTGTATTCCCTCAGATGTTAGTCGAAGGTATTTTGAGTTTCTCAGTACTTCAATAAACGTTTACGAGAGAGTAATAAAATACAAACTTATGGTAGAAATACAAATATCGGTAAAAACATTGTAATTTCAATGCAATCGTTTTTACAATGATTTTTTTTTATTGTTATTTTTTTGTGTTCGGATTTGCAATATCTCCTAAACTATCACACCGTTGAACTGACTCAAATAAATTTTGGTATTTTTTTCTCTTTCTATTTTTCATTGTAAAAATAGTTATGATTATCCCTATCGCTTTATTGTGACTAGTTTAATAACTTGTTTTTAGTAGTAAATTTATCAGGTAATATTTTTTAGGTAGTATTTTGTCAGTCATAATTTCAGTATATACAGTGTACATACTACTTTTCTTATATTTACTTTTAGTATTTTACTTGTTGCTTATATATTTAATTGTTGAACTGTTATGGTTTTCAAAAAAAACCTATTAAGAAAAAAAAATTTAATGTTGAGAGTTGTCTCCAGACACGTTCTAGGGCTCCGATCTAACAGAAATAATCTTTTTAACTCTCTTTCTCTTTTATGGGTTTAAACAACCGGAATCCATCCGATATTCTTAATTTTCGCTCTATTCCCTACATGGCTTGCGTTATTAGATTTATTTTGGGCGCTGGTTTTATTATGTATATTAGTGATAATTATTTATTTTTTGTTGTATTTAATATTTATTATATTTTAAGTTGATTTCAACATAATACTTATAAACTATTGTAATTGTTGACTCATAATATTGTTCAATCAAGTTTAATAAAAATAAAAAGTATGCAATCTGGCAACAAAAAAAGTAAATTTTAAGAGTGAAAATACAATAATTGAAAAATGTTTTTAAAACTATAATTTAAAAACATTAACAGAGAAAATTAAAAATATTAATTTATCATTAAAAAAAAACCTATAACATATATTATTATTTTAAATATTTGCGCTTTATCCGAAAATAACTTTAGACTGATACTTTCGCGGAAAAACGTTTATGTGATAATAATTGTTTTATCTTATAGTTTAATACTTTCGAGTACACAACAAAAAACATAAGTCAAATGTTAAAAAAATTATTAGCATTATTTTAGTCATAACTTCTTGTCAATCACTGAACTAATTTATTTTGTTGAATGAATTAAAATTTAATATTATTATATAGTAGCTAAAATAAAGTGCCAAAAATTAATTAAATATTTTAATAACTTGGTCGAGTCAAAATATATAATCTTAACAGCTTAACTAAAATTGATTAAAAAACACAAATTAGTTTAGTCCATGTTTCTTGTCTTCACTATATTCTTGGATTTAGGTAGTATTTTTTTTTTTATAAAGCTTAAGTAGTTCGTTAGAGACTTCGCGGTGGTTGTTTTTTAACAGCCTTTCACCGGAAGGAGTTATGGGAACCAAATTCTTATATGCTAAATGAGGTGTCTGTTTACTACTGTTTAAAATAGGTATTCAGACATAATGAGAAAACGCACGTTAATATATAGTATATTACAAAAAATAGTGTTATAATATAACAAAGTGACCGCTTTACCCATATAATAATGTCGATTTACCCAACGGGCTCGCTCTTTCCTTACACATACATTTAAGATTATGCTATGAAGTTAATGCAAAAAGTAATAAGTAATTAATTAAGTTTTTTAGTTAAAAAATAGCGGTTTAGTTAGAAAGGTTAAAACTAGTTATTCAACCAGTTCGTGGGTTGAGTTTTGCATGACTTGTTAGGACTTAGGACATAGATTGAATGCAAATGCGCGTTAGAAATAAATTATTAAACTATTCATAACAAATAAGTGAAAAGAGGGGAGGGTGAAGTCGTGTGGTGTTCACACACGAATGACTTTCTCACAACTTGGCGCCAAGGGTTTCTCCTTTAGAATAGCTAATAAAGGTCTAAGCTACCAACTGATTTGTTATAAACGTTGGTTTTCAAAGCATAATTGGATACAATGTACAGATGAGTGATTAACAAATTACGGCTCTTGTACGGGTTTGTACGCAACGCGGCTTGTTATTTTAATTGACTCAATTTTTTCTATAGATAATGTAATTGTTATTTTGTGTATTCATACGTCTTACGACGCATATGCTGCAATTGATTATTGCCAAAAAATTTGCGAAATTATTTTTATACCCTATGCTGTTGCGTCCACTATTCAGTTAAGGGTGCTTTTGAAAACGAAAGTAGCTGATAAGTACATACCGTAAAAAGGATTTCCGCTTCAAATGTTACAAATACTCGGTCGTTTTTCAGAAAAACTTTCCACGGGTGTTTCCTAAACCTGTAAATCCGTTTGCGGTATTAAATTAATAATTTTGTAGGTGCCTAGCCGGTCGCTACGGAAACATGTTACGCACTTTATGTGGTGGATTTAAATTGAAATACTTCGGGAAGATTCGCGGAAGTTTTTGAAATATTTACATAGCAATTTATAAACGTCCGTCCAACAACGCTTACCCCTAGAGTCCAGATGGAGCGCATAGAAAACCTCAGCGGAGTTTATAATTATTGTAGTTTAACCAAAACGGGTAACGCTCATTGAATAAAAGGTTGAGCTATAACACTTTAAGGCGTGTTGACCGAATCAATTTTAAATATTAAATGAAGTCTCCAGAAAAAGAACTTAAGGATAAGGACTTATGTTTTTAATTTTATACATTTTTAACATTAACACAAGGAGTTTTTAACTACTTAACATAATATTTAAAAAAAAAAAAACCTTAGAATAATAGTTAGCTTTATAATTACTTATTTTCAATGTCGATATAGAATTTTAATTGTTACAAAACATATTATTGTTCATTTAGTTGATATGAAATTTAAACAACTAGATACTATTCAATTTATTTTTTAAATCATTGCGATTATCTATACATGTGATTATGATGACTCCAGAGTAAAATTTTGTTGTAGTCCGTAGTCCGTTTTTCAAGTCAATTGAATAATTTTTTTTTATACTCTGTGTGGATCCTTAAATAAAATTATGATTTGTCAAATATATTCTAGTGAACTGACCATGAATTGAAGACGAGTAGCATAATTATTATTTATTATTTGATCTTAAGCGATTTCGTTTGTAATATTTTTAAATGTATTATGTAGAACTACATAATACATCACTTATCACTACTCGTCATTTGGGGAGATAAATAAACAAGTTTAAAGTACAAACAAATTTTGTCGGACAGTCGCAATAGACATTAGTCACCAAATTGATTTACAGAACAACGCAGTATAGGTAATAAAAGTCGAAGCTTAACATTTTTTTTTAGTAAACCCGGGTGTTTTAATTGTATTTTTTGCTGATCAAACCATATTTAGGTCGTGCTAATTAAAGACAAGGGCTTAGCCTGTGTGAAGAACGGTCGGGGGGTTGATGGTACGGGCATAAGCCTGCCATTTAATATCACTGACCGCCGGAAAGAGGCGTGCAAATCTGCTGGCACGCTTAAAATTCACCTCCTCGTCTGCGTTTGTCCCACATAGGTTGAAAAACTTTCGACCGTGTCAGACGGTATACGGCCGCGACGGGAGGCCTACCGATGAAAGGGGTAGTGGTGGTTTTCCGGGGGTGGGGGGTATGCCTGGTGAGCGAAGAGAGGGAATACCCTTATCGATTTGATAGTACCACGTGGCGTAAGGGTGTGTGTATATGTGCACAGCTTTGAACTCATGCCTATATACATATATATATATATATATATATAGTATCGCATAGGCCTCACAGTAGAAACGATAGTAAAATGGTAAAGCGGAAAGAGGGTGTCGCTCGTATTATATAGTACAATGTACTGTTGTTTATTGGTATTTTTTGCCGTGCCATTATATTATAACGTTAGTGCGCCGTGAAGATTGAGTTTAAAATTTGAAATTACAGCTCTGACCTTAGACGTATATGTTCGGTACAAATTGCCCTACTTTGCTCGATTTAATTAACGCTGAATTTTTCACCACCTAGCCCTAACTTGCCTGTAGCTCTTACACGCCACAACAAGCTGTATAATCTATATAGGTGATAACCGCTCTGCTAACCACTGAAATGAAGAGCGTCGGATTTACCAAAGGCATGATTGAATCTAGATCTAAGAGATATAAGTTTTTTTTAGGCACTATGGGTTTTGTTACTGAGTTGCTAACGATAGTTCATAGAACATATTATCTGGTCTGTGATTGTTAGTTGTTACACTGATATCATGTAAGGAGGCACGACGTCAGATTTTTTTTTAAAAAAATACGATTTAGATAAATTACGGTCAAAGTGTAATTTCTCCTATTTTTTGGTTTTTCCTTAATAAAAAAAAGTTTGACTACAGATTTTTGAGAAAACTGTATATGTTATAGACCCATTCTAGATCTACTTTCGGTCTAATTTTCATACCTGAATCCCTTAAAAACTTAGCTTGAAAAAGTGAAAAAACAATTTCTAACCCTTCTAGGCTTACCATTTTTTTTTTGGTTTGTCAATGTTTATCG